GACCCAAACCTCTTTCCTGTTTTCGACCCGAGTCAAACCTCCTTCCCGTTTTCTACCCGACCCAAACCTCTTTCCTGTTTTCGACCCGAGACAAACGTCCTTCCCGTTTTCTACCCGACCCAAACCTTCCTGAAACAGACCAACAAGAAAGGGAAACAAACCAGTAGACGCACCAACCAAAAAAGAGAAATATACAATCCTAACTCAGGGCTTTAAACAGCCGCTAATAAGACAATTAAACAGGAAAAACTATTACGAACGACAGATGAGTAAATAGACTTGGTTAGATGATAAATTTTGATGATAATTTTTTTTTTTTTTTAATTTTCTTTGTAGGCGGGATAGAAGCAGGACTTGTCTTGTCTGCTGTCAGTTCTCTTTTGATGTTGCTCCACTTCATGAAATGCCATCGGTGTATATGTCGTATGGTTATTATGATCGTTGCGGGCGTACTGCGTAAAAGGCGGGGAAAACACAAGTGATCAAATCACGATTCGTTCAAGTTTTGAATATGATTGGTTGAGAAGGTGACGCCAGCTTTCTGGACCAATCACACGGCGAAGTTAAGCAAAATCACAGCAATCATCGATTACTTTCGACACTCAATTGAAAAATACTCTACTACATGTAGGATGCAACTCTAAAGATTGTTTAAGAGGTTGTCTCTCTTATTTCCACCCGATCAATTTTGCGTCAAAAATAATTTTGCCTGAAACTCTGTTAACAGAAAGACTTTACCTAGGAAAGAACTAAATTAGATTTGGTTTGATTCGAAATAATTTTCTGACTGCATTACGGGCCATAATTATTTCCCAGTCCGTAGGGACCGTCGCAACGTCTCGAAAATTGAAAAATAGGCATATTTTGTAACGTTGTAAAATATTTGATTCGCATAGTTAAGCCACAGAATTTATATCGGATTGCTTAAAAACCTTTTTAGTTTGCTAAGAAAGTTAGAATTTGCCCTCTCAACATATTTGAAAAGGCGAATTTTAGCATATTCTGACCACTAGAAATCGCCATCGGCCGATGGCCGTAAATAACCTTGATTTAGACGCTTTAAGTTTTGGGATTTGGGACCTGGTTGACGATTCTATCCTACACAGCCGTTAAGTTTAGACCTTTATAGGCAAAAATATGCAAAAACCCTGTACGTTTTCGATTTTTCAAAAGTTATGACCGTTTGAATCAGCACATGTACGAGCATTCGCGATTTTTTCGCCTACACCAAAATCGAACCACTGGAGCAGATTTCGTCATAAATACAGCTTACCCGCTTTGCAGCCCGGCTTCATAGCTCACTTCAGAATTTTTCTAATAACCAAATTGGTGAAATCCATGATAACTTCAACAAATAGCTAGGTATTGCCTTCGAAAAGTAGGCGGCATCCATCGTGATTCGTGGTATCAAAACAAATGCCGGAATTGGCCACATTTCGCGGTGAATCACCCATTTAACATCGCTGCAGAGCTGAATTTTTTCCAAAATCAGAATATAAACTCTCCATGTCTGGAAGCTGAGGGAGAAATGAAGGTTTTAGGCTTCTGAAGTGAAGAATTAATCGCTTAAATTTAGATCCAGTTCGATGTTATACTGTTCTCACAAAGGTCCGCACAAAAGAGAAGACCGCTGATAGCTTGTGCCGTAAGTTGTGCCATATGGTTTTGTTTTGTATCCCAAAGTAATATTTGGGCAGAAAAATTTTGGATGAAAAGAATAAATGCTTTTACCTGGAGTTTGATATCATATAATTAATAAATCAATTTCAAATATCCTGAGGTTGCTTCTCTCGGTTCCGCGTCGATTGTGTCCACAGAACAGCAACCTGTCAATAGCCGAAGAAACCGGCTACCAACGTGTTAAAAACTTGACACATGCTTTGTATGAACAGATGTTTATAAGTGTTGCTTTTGGTAAATTTTCAATCGATTTCATCAAAACATTTCACTGACTACTAGATCTTATAATATATTACACTATAACAACGCCGTCAGAACTTGATATCGGAAGTAAAGGTAGTTTGTATCTGTAGAGCATATTCTACACTTTCAGCCACCGTATAAGACATTGTTTACATAAGTCTACTGAGAAACACACTGACAATCACTAATCACGTCCGACAGTTTGTCTGTGAGGATCTGTTTTTTGTCTCTCAATTTTACAGGGATCTCAAAATGCCTACAGATGGCTCTCAACAAAACCACATTGAATTTCTGAAGTGTGTTATTGTGGTAACGTTCACAGAGGTCCTACGTATCGTAGCAGATTGGATGTGAGACTTTGATCTCTTTGTTAACTTTGTCTACCAGATCTTATCTCTCGGAATTTTCCTGGACGCATTGGATATCTTCCTCCTCATCCAGTGATATCCCGATCACACCCTGATCTTTTCGCCGCATTGCCGCTAGCCGGGAGAAAAAGCTCTGAACTTGGTTCTTTGTCAGCCACTGTTCTCTAGTGAACAAACGTGATTTGATTCATTTTTCGCATTTCGCATGTCCACTGCAACTTGGGCGGGTCGGCCTTTCGCCCAGTTCTTTCGCCAAGTGTAAACTGTGCCGTTAGGTATTCTTTTACCTTCTCTGAAAATCTAACGCTGCCCCTTGGTTTGCTTACGGCCCATCCTGTTCGTAAAGACGAGTGGGGCGAAGTATCCACGGGAGAAGTGAGTGGTCTACTAGAATCTAACGAACAGCTCGAACACTCGATACCAGCAGAACTTAAGGGCCCAGTCCCTTTTGATTGCATCATACTGGCTTTAACCTGCTGACTGTATGCTTTCCAACGTCCAGGTGCAGCTCCAGCTGCGAAAAGGTTTCGAACACTTCAACACATCCAAACACAGAGCATTCAAACAATGGCGTTGTACTTACTGCCATTGAACGACGCTTGACCACACGCTTTTCAGAAGGATCATAAAACCCTTGAGATTCTATGGTTTGAAGGGACGTTTGACCTTGGTGTTTGATATAAATTACGTCATATGGAATGTACTTCCCTTTACCGATGCCATAACATTTCCAAACTCTCAGACCGATATCTCCATATTCCAATCGAAGTTGTGGAAGTTACTAAAATGCTCAATCTTATTTATACAGAGAGTGTTCTTTGATTCGTCTACTATTCTTACTGCAGCTGTTGTTCCCTTCACTGGGTGTTTCGTCAATGCGTATCCTCTGTCCAATGAAAGCTTTAACAACCTCGCTGAAGACTCTCTACAGACTGAAGCCTCTCTGGTTTCGAAAAAAGCACTTGCATGCCATACTACACTTGCAGGCCTTCCAAAAAAAAATAAAGGGTCAGCGGGTTCACCCGCAATGATTAATGCGGACCTCTGTTATGCGCGATAGTGCAATCGTTCAGCTTTAAATTCCAAAACGCCAAACTTCGACACATAGACTTACAAGTGGAGTTCTATGACTGATTCTTGAAGAGAATGCAGCTGCAATCCAAAGTTTCAACGGGACATTAAGCGCGAAACATGGCTTTAGTTGTCGAGTTTAGTTCGCAACAACGAGTCAAAGAAGAGTATCGACAGATGCCGACCGCTGAATTTTGGAGGTATTTGTTGGAGTTATCATAAAGTCCAGTTCACCAGTTTGGGAAGCGAGGAATATCTGAAATTTCACATAAACTTTGTGTCCACATGTTCTGTGGACACAATCGACGCGGAACCGAGAGAAGCAACCTCAGGATATTTGAAATTGATTTATTAATTATATGATATCAAACTCCAGGTAAAAGCATTTATTCTTTTCATCCAAAATTTTTCTGCCCAAATATTACTTTGGGATACAAAACAAAACCATATGGCACAACTTACGGCACAAGCTATCAGCGGTCTTCTCTTTTGTGCGGACCTTTGTGAGAACAGTATAACATCGAACTGGATCTAAATTTAAGCGATTAATTCTTCACTTCAGAAGCCTAAAACCTTCATTTCTCCCTCAGCTTCCAGACATGGAGAGTTTATATTCTGATTTTGGAAAAAATTCAGCTCTGCAGCGATGTTAAATGGGTGATTCACCGCGAAATGTGGCCAATTCCGGCATTTGTTTTGATACCACGAATCACGATGGATGCCGCCTACTTTTCGAAGGCAATACCTAGCTATTTGTTGAAGTTATCATGGATTTCACCAATTTGGTTATTAGAAAAATTCTGAAGTGAGCTATGAAGCCGGGCTGCAAAGCGGGTAAGCTGTATTTATGACGAAATCTGCTCCAGTGGTTCGATTTTGGTGTAGGCGAAAAAAATCGCGAATGCTCGTACATGTGCTGATTCAAACGGTCATAACTTTTGAAAAATCGAAAACGTACAGGGTTTTTGCATATTTTTGCCTATAAAGGTCTAAACTTAACGGCTGTGTAGGATAGAATCGTCAACCAGGTCCCAAATCCCAAAACTTAAAGCGTCTAAATCAAGGTTATTTACGGCCATCGGCCGATGGCGATTTCTAGTGGTCAGAATATGCTAAAATTCGCCTTTTCAAATATGTTGAGAGGGCAAATTCTAACTTTCTTGGCAAACTAAAAAGGTTTTTAAGCAATCCGATATAAATTCTGTGGCTTAACTATGCGAATCAAATATTTTACAACGTTACAAAATATGCCTATTTTTCAATTTTCGAGACGTTGCGACGGTCCCTACGGACTGGGAAATAATTATGGCCCGTAATGCAGTCAGAAAATTATTTCGAATCAAACCAAATCTAATTTAGTTCTTTCCTAGGTAAAGTCTTTCTGTTAACAGAGTTTCAGGCAAAATTATTTTTGACGCAAAATTGACCGGGTGGAAATAAGAGAGACAGCCTCTTAAGCATCAAAACAAGATACAGTAACATATTTGCAGGATCAGGATTTCGTGGCTAAGCTAGTTTTATAATTATAATCATAATTTCATAATTGTTGTGAGACTTGAAGGCTTTTCGAAAGACGCAATCTAGTACTCATGGAATGTTTTTTTTTACAGACCCATTTTGGCCTCAGCTATTTTTCTGATGTTGTTCCGGTTGTTTCTAACACATTTCGTCTTTCGTGACTCGACTTATCCAAACATCACTGTCACAATTGATAACAGATATTGTTGTACATCAGTCTGATGTCTAGTTTCTTTCTCAAATTTTGTTACGACTACAGACCCAAATGGACTCCGCTCGGTCCTATTTGGCTTACCGATGACCAATGGCGCAGCAAATTTTATTATTGTGTTAATTGTATGCGTTATATGCTATTGTATGTTTAGTGGTCAACTCACGCCTCGCCGAGAGAACGTTCAATACAAAGCTGCGATAGATTAATTGAACGTCGACGCAAAAACTCGCCGACAGAGACGTCTCTAATAGGAAGATTTTTGGCATGTATCTACATTCTTATGGTTGTTTGGGTGTTTATTGTTGTTATTCATTTTGTTGTGGTGGTGATGGGTGTTGTTGGTTTTGTTGCTTTGATGGTTATTGTTGTTGCTGTAGTTGTGGTTGTTGGTTTGTTGTGTGTTATACTGGTTGCATCCAGGTTAAGTAATTCTCCTAGATTCACATCTTGCTTATTGGTCACTTAGCTTAAAATATTCAGCCCGTATCGTGTACACTTTGTTTTTGGTCTCTTTCTCTCTCTTTAAGGCGGCTATTCTCCATCATGTCGTACTTTTCTTCTTCTACAACATAATTCCTGGACTTCTCTCTGCTTCTATGCGAATTGTAAAGGGCATGCTTTTAAGAGTGATTTTCTTCTCTCGTATCGATCGAACATCACTGGTGCAGGGTTTCCAGGCTTGGGACAAAGGTACGTAGCACGCACCCAGTACAAGCAATTTATAAGTGGCAGAGGCTATGTGAAGTGAGATATACAACATACAGACCTATTCTGCTGCCAAGTTGCTAACTATTTCCTAAGACAGCTTTTAACCAATTAATTAATGTCTTTAAGACTTCGGCGACGAAAGGAAGGTCGAGCAGAAATTCTTTAGTGACAAGATCCAACAAATTGCCCAGAACGCAGCAAACGGTAGTGGCTTCGTAGCGATTCGTAATAGCTTCACGTCTAATTGTTCGAGAGTGTTGCACGAGATTTAAAGAGTTCTCATTATGCTAACTAGAGCATAACCTATGGGATCCTTGACAACCTTCGGCTCTCACTTCAAAGTTTCTTAATTTTCTCTCTAGCTTTTGTCGCATACCTTGGTTTTGTGACTGTGCTGGTTGCCCACAGACAACCCGTGATGCTGGTGTTCTGTCAGTTGCTTATTGACAGACAAAAAGATCATCAGCTCCTGGAAGAGCATAAGTAAACTGTCTCCAGAATCACGACTCGGCTGGGATGATGCATTCCTAGGATTTTGATTTGCTTGATTGATAATCAGACAGATGAGCGTACGCACGAATGGGCGGACAGACGAATGGGCAACTGTAGCTTAGAGACAATTGGCACGTTTGTTTCCCTGATAAGATCAAAACACAGCGCTGTATATGCACTTGCAACCGGCACTCAGCAATCAATCAGAATACTAGAAATGATCTTTTCACGGAGGACAAGAAATACATAATTTTCTTTTGTTAAGCGTCGTTATTAGTGTGAAATCGTGGAAAATTAGGCAGAAAACGTACCCCATTCCCCAAGTCAGATTTGATAAAAAATGGGTAACATTGAGAAGAAACTTACGATGCGAGCTATGTTCGGTTGGTTACTATTCATTTTCATATCCATTCTGTGGTCACGCGGGAATATTGAAAGTTAGCCTTTCTTTTTGCCACTTTGCACAGTTTTTGAGCAAGTAACTAAAACGACAAGCCAAGCCGACCTTTAAAAAAGTGATTGCATTCTGGGTGATATAGAACAGTTTCAAAGCTTTTCATTAGGAAAAAAAAGAAACATCCCTACGTGTGTAACCTTTTTTTCACCTTGAGTCTAAAGTGCTTAAGTATTCCGTTCTTAACGTTAAAATTAGTTTTCAAGTACCGTGTTTCAAGGCATCTATTTTGTCGCCGGATCTCCGACAGAGCCTGTATATTGTAGGTTTGGCATCGAGGCAGGACGCTCTGAAACTTTGTAATATTTGTTTTAAATGACTTTTCGTTGCCATTCCAGAACAATAGTAAAGGAAAAAAAAAATTTTCTCTCTTTTGGCCTAATTTTTTCTTTTGGCCTATTTTCTCTATTGCTATAATTCCTTTGTTGTCATGAACTAATTTTTTGAAGGTTAATTAACTTGAAATACTCGACAAAGTCCCTCCAGATCTCGTCCAAACCTTTCAAACGCAGCTTATATTGCCGTTCCTCTCTTTTTGTCTTTCAGGCCCCGTCAGCCGCGCATGTCTCAAAAGGCTGTCAACCGCTGGTTCCTGGCCGTGACTCTCCTACGCAACCCATCTTTTATCAAGTACCGCCGCTAAGACCGCCATTTCACGGCATCTGTTGTGACTTTTGAAAGCGTCAACTTTGACGTTCCAGTGTAAAACTTTGAGACTAACTCAGAAGGAAGCACACGGTTCTTTCTTTGTGGTTCCATTTTCCGGAGATCTGCTATAGCTTGGGGTAAAGGTCTCCCTCGTTTGTTACCACAGTATAATACAGTCTGTATCTGGGTGTTGTTGTTGTTGTAGTTGTTGTTGTTGTAGTTGTGGTTTTTGTTTTTTTGTATTTTAAATTTTTTTGAGTCAAAATGTTACTCCCCTAATGAAAGCTGCTCTAAATTATGGGCTAAACTTTATTAAACACGTAGATTGTGGTAGAGAAATGAGCAAGGAAACACACAAAGTACTTATTGAAAAACAATTTAAAATTGTGGATTTTTATTGCTGGCTTCGGAAATGGGAATTATATTATCTGGCAAACATGGAGAGGCAAATGGTAACATTCGCAACTTAAGATAAAGTTTCTTTTTTTGGGAAATCTATTTCTCTGTAAACGATAATGGATTCTAAATATCGATTAATTTTCTTTGGCAGATTTGAATTTGATGGTTTTTTTTTAAAGATAATTTATCAGGTACTGGAAAGATAATATATAATATATATACAAAAAGAGCAAGCAGTTTACGCTAGGCTAAAAGCCAAGTATATAGGAAGGGAAAAAAAGAGAAAAATAATAAATAAATATTGCGGTTTGCTCAGGCATTTTAAGCGGAAGTTTTGGTTTATTTATTTATTATTTTTGTTGTTTTTTTTTCCCTTTAACTATTATGAAAGTAAGAAAAGTAAAAATTGGCGCACGATACCAAATAACGTTGTGAATTAATGAGGTCCGTGAGTAGAGGAAAGACTTGGGAAGGAAGGTGTGGGTTTGGAAGAGGATCAAAGAACCAGCGGCAAGAAAGAATACGTAGTTGACAGACAGCTGTGAGCATTAACCATACGAGTGTTTTGGCGGAAGCCGATTTCTTTCACACGTGCGAATATATTCATATACAATTAGCGAACTCCAACATCGTGAAGACCTCTGATCTTTTTCGGAAAGAAGACTTAGCAAAAGTGGAAAGTGAGGTGGGAGTGAAATATTGAATTCGTGGGACTACTGGCCAAACAGGATTTCATTCAATTTTGTTCGCTAGTTTTTATCCGGGCGAGGATCCCAGTCGAATTCCCGCTGGCTCCCTGATACAAATCTCTTCACCGGCATCTCGAGAGAGATCCCGACAGGTGTCCTATGGGAATTTCGGCGGGAACTTGCGAAAATACCAGCGCGCTCAAAAATTTATCGAATGACACCAACAAAACGATGATGCAGCGTAAAAACAGAACAATTAGTTAGAATTCTAACAGCTAGACCTCTTCGTAATTACTAAGGAAATGATTCTTCGTAACCTTTTTTGTGTGTAATATTTGTGAGAAACAAACAGTCCTGAGAAGAAAGTTCATTTGCAATGCGTTGAGGACATTTGAACTCTAAATACTAACATTGATTTTGGGAGACAAACATAAAATTAAATCATACTTCAGAGAGAATTCCTCGTTTTATTCGAGTGGTTCCGCCCTAAGTAACCATACCATACGACCCGAACAGGTCGGTGAGATTCAGTCAAGGATGACCACAACCACTGAAAAGCGGTGAAAGTGACAATGCACAAGAGGAAAAAATTCGGGAATTTTACAACCGACCGCTTAATACAGGTTCGACTATTAATTCTGAATTAGCCAATCAGCCCACGCGAAGAGCTCTATTCACCAGTGTGGTATATTATAAAAAACCGCTGTAGGGTGGGTAGATGGAGTTGAGTTATGTAGCACAAGGAGAAAATTTAAGAAGACGAAAGAAGTCTAAGTCTATCAATTTCTCGGGGAAATTCTTATCTTTACCTTCTGAAATAGTAGCTCTAAGATTCTTGAGAATCCGTCCGGAGATGCTACCCATGAAACCACCTAGCTGTTTACACTCCCAACCCGGGGGGATAAACGGAACCTCGACTCATTCTTCCCCCTTCCCATGGATCTTTTTTTTTTTTTAATGATTGTAATATATGCTATCGTCAGTAGAGATGTTCTGCTGAAACATTTACGTTGTCGCAGTTTTTTTAGATCTGCGGTGAAGTCAAAATATCAGGGCTTACTGACTTTTCAGATCCGGTACAAGGTGCTAAAGAGGGGAGGAAATTTATCCCTGCTCGCCTTGACGTCGGTGAATATCTCGAAAGATATATTTAATTTTTTTGCGTGAGCTTCATTAAGCATCTCGGATTGAACATAACAGGAATGCGTGGCGTCAACGCTCTCCCCATGCCCGTCTCTCCCAGTTTAATCCTCACCTCCAGGATTTTTCCACGGCTTGTTTTTCCCTAAAAGATCTAATTCCAAATTCGAGTTGAAAATGCCACCCTCTTAAACCGTTTTCATTTCACATCTTGCATGTTACTCAGTCGAGGGTCCCCATAGGGTCAACCGTTAGCCGTAAATCGGTCAAAAAAACTAGCTGTTAGGCGTAAAATTGACAGATTTTAACCCTTAGTTATAGCAAAAATTAACCTTAGAAATCTTTCTTTCCTACAAAGTGTTATTTTGTGTTATTCTGAGTTAACCGCAGCAGAAAAATGGCCAAAATTTTAACCGTTAGCCGAAGTTCTCCTCGGTCGGCCCTCTTTAGTTTTAAGTAAGTTAAGCTGTTTTAGTTAAGTTTGAAATCGTGGAAAAAAAATTCATCAATATTTTCTACACTCGAGGAACCACACCGACCTAGGGTACCCATGATGAGGACTCTTTCTATAAATGGAATAAAGTATCATCTCCCAAAGTGAAAGGTAATTTCTTTTTTCTTGCCTCTTCAAAGATATATGACAAAACATCATGTCACTTTACATGCTACAGAAGCGCGTCGCGTGACATCCTAAGGAACGGCTGCCAATGAATCTAGTAGTTATAAAATCTGAAAAGAAATCGAGGTCTTTATCTTATTTAATAACTCTATCCAAAGAAATGGGCAATAGTTGAGCGAACTAGACACAGGTGTGCTCACTACTTCAAACGACAAGATGTAACAAAACATCATATCTGTCGCATAACGTGCTAAAGAAGTGCGTCGAGATGGATATTAGCAGTTATAGAGTCAGAAAACATTGAAGTTTATCTCTTATTCAGTAAACTTATTCAAAGAAATGGGCAAAAGTTATTAAGCGAATACTACTTCAAACGGCAAGAAATGGCTTATGCAGGTTGATGCAGAAATTTTCTTCCCTTTGTCATTGATTTCCTCTTCCATTCTAACAAAATACAAATCGACTTGTTTCATTGTTTGACATTCAAATGTTAGTTTATTGTACTTAGATAATAAGTAGACAATCTAATCGGAGAAACTAAATGAAATGATTTGGCTCCGACTTTCTAGCTCGTTCTGAGCTTCTTTTAATGCTGTGTACGCCAGTAACTAAAATTAAGATAAAACTTCTCGTTTTGCCTTTGGACGATTAGTTAAAAAAATATACTTAAAATGCATCGATCGTCTTGTAAAAAAGAACACAATTTATCGCATTCAAAATTAAAGGAGAAATCTCAGAAAATTAAGTAATACCAAGACTAAATCCTTGCCATTACGGCCAAAATCTGTCATTTTAAGTCTAGATAAACCAAATTCTGATCTGCAGAAACTAACTTTAAGTACCAATGACTGGGTACAAATCATCGAAAAGTTACTCAAAATTCCCATCTGACATAAACTAAGATAATTGAGCAATCGGACAACTGATTATTTTCCAATTTCCATGGAAATTCTCCACACACGCACATGGCTGTAACAGCTTTACATCACTCATGAGAAAAATACCGATTGAGTAAAAGTCTGAAAAACTCTGGAAACGTTTCAAGACGTTTCAACTTCGACGCCAATGCATCGCCCAAATCCGCTTAGTAGGTAATACATAGATTAAAAATTAACTTTTATAAAGCTACTCATGATAATTTCAAGACATTATATGAAAAAAAACCCAGTAGTTTCAGCGAAACATAAAAGATCAAGCTCTTAAGTGCAGTTCAGACGAGGAAAAAGTCAACTTTTGAATCAATGAAAATCCGTTCTTTTGTTAAACTTGACTTTAGTCGCCTTTTGGTTCTTCCTGCTTTGAAAAGACGACTCTTGACAAATATTTAATCGGTAGCTTAACTGGTTTATGGTACAAATATCAGCATTTGCAGGTATCTTAAAACTCCCTGGGATTCCAATGCTCACTGCCTTAACTGAAAAATAAAAGAATCTAAGTTTAGGAAGGATAGTTGAGTTGCCATAAAATATTTCATAGCACATGAAACGATACCTTGCACAAAAGGATTGTTTTGAAAAAAGAAATTTGCTTTTTTTACTCCTATCAGGTTTCCTAAAAAAGAATGTCATCATCGTAAACGTGTCCTCTTGATTTTACTGCATCTCAACTTGCCGGAGCAAAAACTAAATATCGTAACCCAACTGAAAGGAAAATAACACGCAAGTATCATTGCTCATAGATAAGCTATAATTACGATTTAAGGTAACTTTGTATTAAATAGAATGTATAAACAGAATATTTACTTGTTTCGGCTTCAATATCCTTGAAATCTAGGTTGACATCATCACCAATTAGTACAAATGGTGCCCAGTAAATTACCTCCTTGAACTTTTCAATTTCTCTCATACACTTCATGGCCTGATTGAGAGCTTCACTTGCCTTCTTGCCTTTGGCAAGTGCATCGTAGAAGAAACTCATGAACTCCAGGGTTCCCTCGTCGCCAATCTCCCACAAGGTTACCACAACAGATCTAGCACCGGCACCCAAAAGTGCACGCGCCATGCCCACCACACCCTCTGCCATGACTTCCCCACGAGCAGTGTGAGAGCAGCTAAGTACAACCAGACGTGCTCGCAACCCAGCTTCTATGACATCTTTCATCGTCAGTAGATAGTCTTCCTCTTGCGGCTGAGGGTTTTCTCTTGTGGTGTTTGGTGCCAGGATAACTTCTCCAGTTTCCATTTTACCGTGTGCTGCTATGTGAACTAAGGCCACTGATGTTATTCGTTTTAAAACTTCATGTTTTGTTGCCATTTCTCCAGTGAGGGGGGGAACATTGAGGATACGTCCGATCATTTCCACTTCTTCCCTTGCTCCTGGAAGTTGTACCAAACGTCTTCCCTGATAGATGATATGTTTGAAACATGGGTCGCCGACAAGCAATGCACCAGTCTTCATGTGAAAGTCAGCTGGACAATCATGGATTAGTTGCAACGTCGTCAGAGAGGGAAGCACACGAATTCTGAAAGAATCACTCAGATATGATGACTTGGAGTCCAGCAACGCTGCATAAGGTACAAGGCAAAATGACCCCTCAGGAACGAATGTTATCTCGTTGCCTTCGATCAGGTCAGCAATAGGAGCAACGATAATGTCATGTAGCTTCTTTAAAGCACTTGACTGGGAGTGCCTCACATCAACTCGGATCACATCATTCGCCTTTTCCTCTTCTGTAGACGAATCAGGAGGAAGATTTTCGATTTTAACAGTATCTCTTTCACGGATCTCCTTCAGAGTAGTTTCGTTCAGCAGCTGGATGAAACGTTCCAATTCATCCTGAAACTTATAATCGTTGACGTGTACCTTTTTCATCTGGATGTTATCTTCACTGAGGCAAACCCAGAAGTAAACGCATGGTCCATTAATAGCTATGAAAACTGTGCTAGATGTAACGCACCTCAGAGAAATGTGGGATGCGCCTTGCATTAAAGAATCTCCAGGCTGATATTTTGTGGCCATGAGATCTCTCAGAGCTTGAGCACGTCCTTTCTCTGTGGCAAGAAGAGCCTTTAGAGCTTGACCTCGTTTGAGATTTATACGCCACAAACCTTTGTATGCTACTTGGTAAAGATTACGATAAGTAATCTTCCACTGATCGTTGAGTTGAAGACTGGCCCTGATATCATCATACAATTCTACACTCGAGTAATAATAGTCAAAGGCCATCATAAGATTTCCTTGGCACTCAAAATGGTTTCCAAGGAAATAGAGTGAGCACGCCACTCCAGGCTTGTCTCCCACTTCTTTAGCAATTTCTAGATGACGTTGATGGTACTTGATGGCTGTTTTGAACTCTCCTAGACTGCGATGAGCGTTGCCGAGATTGCCATAACTTTTTCCCTCTCCGGCCTTGTCTCCCACTTCTTTAGCAATTTCTAGATGACGTCGATGGTACTCGATGGCTGTTTTGAACTGTCGTAGACCTTGATAATCGTTGCCGAGACTGCCATAACTTGCTCCCTCTCCGGCCTTGTCTCCCACTTCTTTAGCAATTTCTAGATAACGTCGATGGTACTCCATGGCTGTTTTGAACTTTCTTAGACTGCAATAAACGTTGCCGAGATTGCCATAACTTTTTCCCTCTCCGGCCTTGTCTCCCACTTCTTTAGCAATTTCTAGATGACGTTGATGGTACTTGATGGCTGTTTTGAACTCTCCTAGACTGTCACAAGCGTTGCCGAGACTGCCATAACTTGCTCCCTCTCCGACCTTGTCTCCCACTTCTTTAGCAATTTCTAGACATCGTAGATGGTACTTGATGGCTGTTTTGAACTCTCCTAGACCTTGATAAGCGTTGGCGAGACTGCCATAACTTCTTCCCTCTCCGGCCTTGTCTCCCACTTCTTTAGCAATTTCTAGATGACGTTGATGGTACTTAATGGCTGTCTTGAACTCGCCTAGACCTTGATAAGCGTTGCCGAGATTGCCATAACTTGCTCCCTCTCCGGCCTTGTCTCCCACTTCTTTAGCAATTTCTAGATGACGTTGATGGTACTTGATGGCTGTTTTGAACTCTCCTAGACTGTCACAAGCGTTGCCGAGACTGCCATAACTTGCTCCCTCTCCGGCCTTGTCTCCCACTTCTTTAGCAATTTCTAGACATCGTAGATGGTACTTGATGGCTGTTTTGAACTCTCCTAGACCTTGATAAGCGTTGCCGAGACTGCCATAACTTGCTCCCTCTCCGGCCTTGTCTCCCACTTCTTTAGCAATTTCTAGATGACGTTGATGGTACTTAATGGCTGTCTTGAACTCTCCTAGACCTTGATAAGCGTTGCCGTCAAAAGGAAAATACTTCTACTTAGCAAATATTATTCATTTTAGGTGAAAATTGTAGCTACATCTTTAACCTTTAAAACGCCGTGCGTTCATTTGGGAGGAAGCACTTCTAAAACTCAGAAAACTGAGTTATACAAAGCTTAGTGGGCCAAGTTTGACCCATTCTTCTCTAATTTAGGGCTCTTCAAAGCGAAGTCGCGTTCAAATTTGCCGCTTAGTGGCTTGTAAATAATTAATGATGTCATCGAATTCTGTTCCATTGGATCGAGCAATAAATTATTTTTTTGTTTCGTTTTTATTGTACTGGTAACAAAGTTTGAAATTTGAAGATATTTTGCTGCTTCAAAAACTCATTTACAAAACATACGCAAATTTTGATGTAAATAGGACAAAAAAACTTCACTGGGACGTCTTTCAAACAATCTTACTTCACCTGGTTTTCTTACCTCTTAAAGGGCCATTGTATCCATCCAGTTCAGCGTCACTTGACGTAACTTGACTTTCCTCTGTTGCTGAAATTACCGAGAAGATATTTCAACTTTGTTAGTGATCACAACTTTGTCCAATTACAACTAGCGTTCTAATACTGACGTATTTAGTGGATTCCTTAAAAACCTTCAAGTCGAAGTAATCCAAAAAGTTGTGCACCGGAATTAAGATATACTTAATTAACAAACTGTACAAAATCACCACAACAAAGTCTCTCCCTGTTGCTTTTTCTTACCTGTGGCTGGAAACTCATTTTTCACCTCCAATTCTTCTCCCGTTGTTGGGAGGTTGTTTTCTGCCATAGCTAGAAATAAAATTGAATCGATTGTAATGCGCTACATTTTTTAAAATCAAAAGAGGAGACTCAGATGAAAGTAACCTAAAGAAATCATTTTATACTTAATCATAGAGGAAGATTGAAAATCTCAAACGCTATTGTAATTGTAATAATTGTAAAACATTTTATACTTAATCATAGAGGAAGATTAAAAATCTCAACGCTATTGTAATTGCGTGACAGCTCCAGTTAAGTTCTGCGGGTTGTGTCATGTTTGTTTGTTTGTTTGTTTTCGTAGTCTCATCTGTTGAAACGTCGTTCAAGGCTGTCCCTTATCAAAATGCGTGAATTGCAATAAACAACCTTGTTGTACCCGGTAGGCATGGATCAAAAATAATGTAATAAAAGACCAATTCCTCCGCTATTTATACGTTAAGGTAGGACCCGCGAGCGAGCAGGAAAGCTGTGCTCTGATCGGCTACCCAAGAGTGCAAAATGTGTGTTCTTTAGATTCCCACTTTGATTCCCCACAGAAGGAAAAAAAGAAATGCTTGTAGCCTGTTGAATATCTCATATAATTTCATAACTAAACAATATATTTTTGTCCTATGAATAAAAGCTTTTCCAGCATTTTTGGCTAAAACACAGGTCACAGATTCGTCCTAAATGAAAACAAAACAAAACAAAAATCACAACGAAACTCGCAGATTTATTTGGTACTTCCATAATGCATGAATATATTTTGTTATCGTGTGATACATCCTTTGATCCGTTGCTGACGAAGCCTTCGTCTCGGTCCCGGCTTAAAATATAGTGAGGGAAATTGGCCGATGTACAGCCTTCTTAAGCTCACACTTGTTCAGTAATACTCACGCATACATGAGATATTAGATAACCGCGCGTGGATACGAATTTTACCATCGAGTGTTCATGACATCTTTTACTCCTTCAAATAGATAATTCAATTCAAGCGGATAAATTCGTATCGATAGGCCAACATGTATCATCCATTTTATTCAAAAGATATTGATTGAAAATTTGAATCAAACATGATTTTTTAAATAGGAGCATCGACTAAAGAGATCCGTTACACCGAAACTCAGCTCGCCGAAAAATCCATTCAATTTCGGACATTGTAATACAACAGTTTATCATTACAAGAACTATTTTATTTAAAAAAGAATTGAATTCAGCTTCAGGTAAAAAAATACAATTGAAAAAAAAACAGCCCACATGGAAGGTAAAACTGTCATGTTGATAAATCCGGTTGTAATGACGATATTGATACCTTTATATGTGAAGATATAAATGGTACATTTACAGCGTGCGGTGGAGATGTCACGTTTTGGAAACTGAACCATATTACCGTTATTATTACTATATATCGCGAATGTTACCATATCAAAAGAAACGTAGGGATTGTGTAATTTTTTTTCAACCTCGAGCCTTGTTACAAACTTACAAAGAGATATTTGCTGATTTTGATATTGACGAGAGCTCTAATTATATACGTCACTTTATCTAACTTTGTCACATGCTCGTCACGCGCTTCTGCCGCATAATCATCACGCACAGTTAAACCTTTAACTCCCGTGATCTAATTGTTTATGAAACATGTTTCATTTCAAAGTAGATACACAAATTTGGTGTTAGTTCAAAGATAACGAATTCTACTTGATAAAACTTAACCTCATCTAATGCCCAGTATTGTGCTTGTATTTTTGTCTGTTTGTTTTTTTTTTTTTTTTATGATTATTACTTGTTTACATGTTTCTCCATGGCGATTAAATATTTCTGTGATTTAAATTCAGCTCTTTCTCTTTCAGTGCAAAACACTCGCATCCTGCTCTTCTCTGAGCAGGACATGTTACACCCTGCCATAACTGAATCGATAAGGATGAATTCACACTGTGAGTTATATTGTACCGATACAATTTCTCTTCAAGTGATCAACTCAATATATCCCTCGTTCAATTTGTTTTTGGTCATCTTCCCATTAGCGTTACAGTTCTCTCAAATTTTCATTTTCCGCTCTCACCATGACAACTTCAAAAGTTTCTAAAAATAATAACGGTAAGCTTTTTTTTCTTGTAAATAACTCCCGCCAATTGCGCCCTAAATATTTTTGCAGTCAAAAGCGTAGGTGTCCGGTGTAATCACTAGAGGCAGATACAAAGCTAAAGAAACCACATCAATAATATGTATTCTTTATGTAAATTTTTTCCAATTTTCTTGTCTTTCGATTATAATATGCTACATACTTCTTCATTATCTTTCCTCACCTGAAGATTACTTGCCATAAATTTAACTCCAATAAAGTTCTTTTGGAAGAAAAATACTTGACTTCTCGTTGTATCTAGAGAAAAGCATAGTTAAATCGTTTCGCGTCTTGGAAAGAATTAAAGCGAATACCATAAGTAGTCTTCTTAAAAAAAATATCCGAGGAAGATATTCAAAATTTTTTTAAATCTGTGTACTCCATGCATCTTTGTGTACAGAAACCCTCTGTGTATCTTATAAGAATTTTATGAATAAATTGTTACTGAACCAGTTGTCTTTAAGTTGGAAGAGAAATCTGAGGCCGTAGCTCTCTGTCTCTTTGAGCTCCAGAATTGTCAGCCGAGTTTGGATGCAATAAGGGAGGCCATAAATAAATGTCTAACAGTTCGTACAGACAAGTGACGCACATGATACTGGAATCAGAAATGCCGCAGCTTCGTAAATCCCTCATGGGAAGATAAATAAGCTATCTCAAGGTCTGGTATGTTTATCTACATGTCAGCATTAATATTTAATCTGTCGTTTAACCTGATCTGACGGATAGGGTTTTTCTTTTCGGTCGTCGGTTAAAAATGATTTTTTCCTTTGTCACGCAAGAGCTTGAAATTTCCTTTCTATCATTATGTATTTGAAGACATGAAACTTTCGACATTGATGATCTAAGCAGTATGCAGGAGGATCCTTTATGTATCCATTGTATGTCATGGATCATTAACGAGAAATCTATAGCTATGTGTGAGAACTTCAGATCGTAAAATCCAATGGTCTAAGATTCGATCTTGCGTTCGTGACGAGTAAATAAGATCGATATTTTTTTCATTCTTTTGTCTCATGTTTCAAATTATTTCTATTTGTATCTTTAGTCAATATCCGTTTATCTCATTCACTGCATTCGGTCGCTATTAACTTATTCTGTCCTCACCTTAACTCCTGTGAAAATGCGATTTGCCCCAGAAGTGTGTAACAAAATGATGCACTTGGTAACACGAGCAGTATTGAAGAAGCTGAATATGAGCTCATCGAACTCGAAACAGAAAATCGTGTCATTGCTTATTTCGTGATCCATGATTCTATTTTGTAGCGATGCTGTTTCACTATTTATACGCCAAGTTTGGACAGGACCTCATATTACATTTTTTAACTTTTCATTTTCATTAATTCGGAGTGTAGCACAATGATATAAACATGCTATTTTTTTTAGTATACTTATTTTTTGCTGATGTGATGGTCGTTAAACCATCGCCTGCTTAGGGTGATCGAAGGGCGCTGGACTGCCATAAGAGAGGTCTTGACAGGACAGGGAAAAATGAGACACACACATACTGAACGCATAGTGAAGGAAATTTTCTTATTAAAGATGCAGGCGATTTGTCGGCCTGGAAACTTGACAAATTTTTTAGGAAAAGTTGACCAATAGAGCTTTAATTCGACGGGTGAGTGAAAAGAAATGACGTAAGGCGAATTTAAAAAAAGTTATTGTATAGCGAATACGACCAAAAATACAAGGAAAAATGAAATCTGAAATCTATTAAATTAACTACAGAGGAAAATCAGTTTAGTAAGACAAGAGAATTCATGAAGTATCTTTAATAATATCAAAGTCATTCCAAATGTTACAGAAATTTGACAACCTGTCAGACAGCAATCCATGGTTTTATTGTTCAGTGACTGAGAAATGTGCTCTTCCAAGGTCTTTTTGCTTCGTGTGTCACTGGCATTCATTTCAATGTACGTAAAACCCAGCTCTTCACAAACCAGGGTACATGTAGCTGTTGTTGTTTTTCCAACTCCTGGGGAACCGGACAGAAGAGCTGCCATAAAGGACGACCCATCTTGGTCTTTGTTGTAAAAGAAAGCTGTGCAAAATAAAAAGGTTTAAAACTGTGATTCCACTACTAACATACTAACTACATGTATAAGTGACTGTCGAGTAAAATAAATTCATAAAAGTTCATAAGTTACAGCTGTTTAAAAAATTGTATCTCTGAATGTGGGAATTAAGAAACAATCTGGATTCAGTGTGAAAGGTATTTAGCCAACAGCTAGACGAAATTTGCATTACAACTCAATTTAAGGTCTTATGTAAAATATCTGTTGATTAAGGTTAGGTTCATCCACTGAACCCTTTTACTTCAAACAGCTCACTTGTACTTCTTACTGTCTGCCATAAAATTTTTATGATTTGGATAATTTGGTATTGGATCAACTAATCATCCCCAGATTGATATTTTTCTACATTCTCATTACTTGTCTGATTGATATTGTATTGATATTGTAAGGGGAAATCCTGTCTTGGTCACTCATGTGAGATAAAGGGTTAGAGGTAAAGTCAGCACAAGAGCCACAGGTCTAACCTTGCCTATGCTTACTTAATTTCAGTAGCATCAGGTGGCTAGGAGAATTGCTACCCCCTAGAAAGGTCCCCCTATCTGGTTACAACCCAAACTTTTTCATCTGCTTTCTATGACAGTTTGCCTGAACCGTTTGCATACTTGCCTGAAGAGAAGTTACATGTACATGTATTTGAGGGAAAAGCATCTTGACAATCAATGTGTACTCACATTTAGAGGCTAGTTTCTTTCTATTCTTTTCCCAGTCTCTCAGCCAGTTCATCAGCTTTCTCATGTTGCTCTTATCACCATGCTGACCAATAATCTGCTTCACTGCCCAAGGCTGATATTTGTCTACTGATAACAGACTTGGATCTTCTGCACAAAAAAAATTACCTTTACTGTCAAAATCTTATGTAGATTAAAAAAATAAAGCAACAAAAAACAAAAAACTGTACTTTCTTCTAACTCAATTTAAGTAACACAAACAAGTCTACAGGTGGAAGTACGGTAAAATGATCCAACAGATGAACCTAAAGGTGGAATTTAGAGTTGTGGTAAAACTGACGTGTGGGTGACTGGACAGAGGAGAACAAGGAGAATAAGTGACAGATAGAAAGACAGTCATTGGAAGAATGAACATACACAAAAGAGCAGACAGACAGACAGACAGACAGACAAACTGAGTGACACTGTAAATTAAGTAGATGGAAGAAGGGAAATGAAGATTAACAAATTATGTGATCAGTTGCACAAAAAAAAACAACAACAAAAACAACAACAACAAAGAAATCACAGGTTTCTTGCCAAGTAATGTTTAGCTATTCAAGGAAGGAAATACAACCTTAAACCAGTTAAAAAGGTCTTTTAACAAAGAAACATTTAATGAACTCCACAGTATAATTTTATGCTCATGGAAAAAAAAAACTTTTAGAAGACAACAACAAAAAGAAAATTTTTCAGTTCTTGTTAGTTTGCTGTTCAATGAATCATGTTAATTTATGCAAATTTGCGACAAGTTTCCCAGGTGTATTTGCAGTAAGCTGCACCCGGATTTGTTATAAAAATTTAGGGAAAAGGTGCAGTGTATATGTTTATGTTCAGAGTTCTTTTTTTTCCCTCTTTTGAGCTGTGCATTACAATGTACCTTGGAAAGTTTACTCTTCCAGGATCCTGTCCCACAACAACTTGACTCTTTCTTGCTCACTGATTGGGTAACTTTTCCACCATATCTTTGAATCAGATCTGCTGCCTCCTCTCTCTCAATACTTTCCAAGATTCCTGTAATAACAAATGTCAGTCCATTCAAACAGTTTTCCGCTTCCTAAATATTATATTATCAAGTGCATGCATAATTTAAGATATGCGACAAATAATTAATTAACTGAAAAGTTATAAATGGTGAAAAATGAAAAAAAACTCTGTAGATACACCATAAACATTTCAGATCATTGTCAGCATCTGCACACCCACCCCTCCCCTAACCCAACAACCATCAACTGCTTACAAGTAAGGGTTAATGTTGGCTTAGGGGCGGGGTAGGTAGGCAGTTTCTCAGATACTGACATTGAACCAACATTTGAACAACAACTGAGAGTAAAAGGATAAAATACATTTTTTTGTTTAACCCTTTAACTCCCATGAGTGACCAAGACAGAACTTCTCCTTACAATATCAATACAATATCATGCAGACAAGTGATGAGAATAAATAATCAAGCAGGGGATTATTAGTTGATCCAAGACCAAATTCTCCAAACTAACATTACAAGAATTGTATGACAGACAGTAAGGAGAATTACTATTGACATTTCGGAGGTAAAAGGGTGAATCAAAGCATGCATTTTGCAATTTTTTCGTGTAAACTGTATCTGCAGATTTTCCAAATAAGCCTTAATTCTAATAATCTTCATTTTCCTTTGTCTTGCATCTCTCATTAAAATTTGAAAGGATGGAAAACAAACCATAAAGAGCTTGAGAAATAATAATTTAACTACTGTAAGAAATTAACATGTAACTTCTCCCAAGAATATCCATACATTATCCAGCAAACACATAATGAGGATACTAAAACTTATCAGGTACATGTAGTTGTTATAATGATCTAACGACAAACTCTCATTATTAATTTACAGAAAAATGTGTAGCAGTTAGAGGGGAGAATTAACAATCAGATCTTGGTCTTTAAAACCTACCTGAGGGATTTCCTTTGAACCAAGTGCCCTAGGACCAACTCTCGCCATAAACCATGGTAGCCAGATTTTTTCTTTTCCAATGAGGGTGGAACTTCAACCTCTTCCTCTGATTTTGACACCTTTTGGTGTTCCTTGGGTTGGAGTTTCCTTACAAACATCTTTTTTTCCTTTTTCAGAGCAACAGTTTTCTTTGGACTTGGTTTTGAGTCTCTAACTGGAGTTTCTGGAACTGTGGCAGCTTTGGCAGCCAGTTTGCAAGCAGGAGTTGTCTTTGGTACTTACTGAAAAGTCCATGGATAAAATTTGAAGTGAATAAAAGTTACATGTATATCAAATATTCTAGCAGCAAAGAGTTGTCCCCACAAGGCAAGAGTTGTTCCAAATAGGAATGTTGATGGTGAAAGACACTGCTGCTTTGAAAAATGGAGACAAGGCGGTAACATCCTCCTGGATTGTCAAAGTTAAAATCACCAAAAACGTACCTAAAAGTTTTGTCACTATTGTTACTGTTTTTGTTTAAATTCTAGGTACAGTAATGGTAGTATTTTGAGTAGTGTTAGTATTGTAAGTAATGTTTTGTTGCAAGTATTGTTAGTAATGTGTCATTAGTAGGACAGGTTTACATATACAAAATGTAACACCAGTTAACAACTTTGAGTAAGCTTTTGGATCTTAAACAAAGCCAAATTTAGTCATAAAATGTTACTGTTTCATCTAAAAGTAACTTATGTAAGTGCTTAATGACACATACCTTACACATGCAATCATATCAGATCCAATCCATTCTAGTATCAGGTTAGCTGGTTCAATTAAGTATTAATAGTAATGATTAATTTTGCAACAATAAAGTATGGTAATCAAAAGGCTTACAAACCTTTTTCTTCTCAGGGGAAGACTTTTTAACCTCAGACTTTGATTCTGAGAAGTCTTCCTTTCTTTTCTTTGATGGTTGCTCTGTTGTGTGATGGTTGACATTCCCATTTTTCTCTTCCTTTTTTTTCTCCCATTTTTTTATACTCTTCTTTTCTATTGAAGTTCACTTTGAGTCAGATCTCTGTGGGAAATGAAAACAAAAAAAATGATTGATGGTTCAACAGGGAATTAAGGAATGATCATTTGGAAGGCTTAAAGCTCTGGACCAAGCTTAAAATTTGCACTCTTAAGAGTGATCAATTTTCTAATTTCTCGCAATAATACCAATTCACAGTCAACTGAGAAGCAATGTGATGAGAAGAAAGAAAATCATCAGACAAGAGGATATCACTTGATTGAACACCATATTCTCAAAGATATTTTCATGACACTTGTGTGACTGACAGTAAAGAGAACTGATTTTAATATCTTGGAGGTGAAAGGACTTGTTCCTTTAAGGCAGCCTATGGTGTTGTTTCTGCCAAAACTATTCCTCAATTGGTCACTACCGGTACCCATTGATTTTGTGACATGTTATGTGTTCACTGTAGACCATCCTGATATAACTATAACAGATTGGCTGAGGGTTTTACAAGGGATACATGATTACACCCAAAAATTAACATGTGATGCATGAATTTTATAGAAAGGCAAGGTATGGTGAGGTTTGAAGCTTTCCCTGTTCAATGCATGATGCATGAAGTACTGTTAAAAAAATACACTGGATGCCTGAATTTTTCTTTACAAAAAAAATTGTGGGTGGAAATTAAAAAGTGTAGTTAGTTATTCACCTGTTTTCTTTCTTAGCAAATATTTTCCTGGATTCCCTTTCAACTGGAGTAGAACCAAAGAAATCAAGAGCAGAAGTTGCTTTTTTCTCTTTAGGTTTGACTGGACTGAAGCAAGAATAACAATCCATGTGTTAAATATTTCAGTAACACAACAACATTGTATTAAATTCACCTTTGGTGACGATTAAAGCGATCAATTCACATTAATGTTTGATTCAGGAGGGATATTGTAAAGAGAAATTAGATGCTAGTCTTTCTTCGCAGTCAAAGGGTTAAATGTATTAGCATAAGAGCAGTGTCCTATGACAGATCTTACATCCGCAATGCTTGATGGAAGAAAGGAAAAAAACAAACAAACAAGCAGAGAAACAACATTTAGATGGATAATTTTAGAAGAAGCCAGATGCTTCTCCAGAGCAATATCTTATGTTCTAAATGAACACCATGGTTTGGTACTGAAATGTCAAATATAATGAAAGAGAATGATGAAAGATACCTCTCTTTAACTTGCTGGACCTCTTTAGAAGCTACATTGTTTGCCTGTTTTGCGGACATTTTTAATTTGCTGGGCACAACTTCTTCCTCATCTGTAGAAAATGCATCAAAATGTAACTCAAGTGCTAAAATATTCAAATTCTATTTGAGGCAGAGTGGTCTAATGGTAAGTGTGCTGAACCCTGAATGAAGCAGATGGCTTCGTTTTCTTTAGCAAGCTAATACATAAGCAATGTTAAAGGTCACGCAATGTTAAAAAAACTGACATCATCTTACTGTACCTCAAGCTCACCTCACACTAAATATTTCCCTATCCAGCCCTCCCACTCCATCAATAAGCAGAGTCTGCCAAAAAAAAACCCTTGTGTCGAACTCGGTCACGTAAAGATATTTGGCAATCTTATTTATAATGAAAAGTATCCAAAACGTTTTGACATTCACATGAAATTCAAGACGATCACATTTCGAAGATAAATAAAACTAAGGAAAAAAATTAAACTAAATTCATATTTTCACTCTTTCTAACCTGTTAATAAAACTGTTAATCCTATGAAAATTAAATATATTTATGTAAAAAAAAGATAAAATCACAATTCCCGTGAAGATAAAGTCTCCACATCACCTTTCACATGAAAAGTATCACGTACCCTCAATAAGTTGACATAATTTCCTTACCCGAGTCCAAGCTGATTGCTCTTCTACTTTTCTTAGCTTTTGAACTCTCCTCCTTCTTTACTGATGTGGATTTTCTGAAACAGAGACGAGTGAAAGAGAACCAGGTTCTGAATACAACCTGACATCAGTATGCATATTCTCCGTGCTGTTCTCTATGCATTTTCTAAGCTGCTGACAAGGAGAATTTGTTTAATAATCAAGAGCTTCTATAGTCGGTGATCATTTCCTTGACTCTTGATTCAGGGCTGATATTAGGGTCAAAGAGTTTAACTACAACTGTATGAAATGGAATGAAATTGAAAAAACAAATCACATACCTGATTTTTGGAAGAAGAGGATTTTCATCAGGATCTAAAATAGACGTAAAATTAATTTAGAAATAGGGTCAGGACATCATGGTGATGTTGTACGTATAATTAAGTGAATCTTTTTATATAATGTTTTTGTAATAATTCAAATTGCATTTGGAATTGACAAGGACACTGTACCGCACAATACACCATTAAAACTAATACAGAGGTATAACAGTTTTTTGTGTAGAGTCTCAACATCTGTTCCTTTTGAAACTGTTTGTGTTCATCCTAAAACATTACCTGAGTCAATAATGTTTTTTCCTTTCTTCTTCCTCTTCTGATTTTCTTTTGGTTTTTGTTTTCAGGCAATGTCATCATCTTCACTTCTTGATAAACTCTGCCCAGCAAATTAACAATTACATATTTTTATTCACACAACATGAGATAATTTGCTTCTTTTGACCTACATGTGTAACAATAACAACTGGATAAGATGAAGGGGGGTGTCGTTCCTAGGAGCACAACTTTCTTACAAGACATTTTCTTCCAGCTCAGAAAATTGAGAGAAGACACCAGGTGTAGAAACCAATCCCCCTCCTGGCCCCAGTCCGCAAGTTTGACTTTTGCACAGATCATGCAAATAAAAAAGGTGTGAGCTTGAGTTAAAAGGCAATTGCAAGTACATTGTTACGCCAGCCATATTCCCAAATTGTCAGGTAAATTGCTCTTTCGTCAAGTGACCCATGTTTCATATATTATTAGGATTGCTTATGTTATACATAATTATTTCTTGTTACTTGTATTTCCTGTGTTATTTCCCATCTCATAATTATTCAGTCTGTTCTTGATGTATTATGTTCTTAATACTTTATGTAGAAACCACTGGCAATGGCATGTAAATAGAAGAGTTCAGTCCAGTCATCAGGAAATTAAACTTATCTAAAATTTATTGCTGGCACGTTGGTTACACCAGGCTTGTGGAGAAAAATAATTAATAGTCTGAGTAAGGTGAAGTCTCAATGTTTCTTTATCAATCACCTTTCAAGTTAATCAACAATTTCATTTTCCCTTCAGTCTGAGTAAATGAAAGATTACCTAGTGCTTGTCAAAATTGTGAAACAGGCATTAGAGTTGTATACTGCAACTGCTCTGCAGAATTAGTATTAGCTGCAGTTTGAACAAATTTGTAGGGAATGCTTAAGTCCTGGATATTTCAATGTTGAGTGAAATTTAGGTGGCAGTGTATCACATCACACTGTTCAACCCTTAAACTCCCAGATGTGATTAACATGTAACTTCTCCCTAAAATATCTCTACAATATCCAACAAAAGGGTAATGAAAAAAGTCGTTATCTTGATCTAAAAACAAATTCTTATAACAAATGTACAAGGAAACTTCTAGAAACAAGTGGGGAGAATTAGAAAACAGATCTTGGGAGTTAAAGAATGAAGACAAAATTGCTTCATGTTATGACCTTGTTAAAGATAAAAAACAAAGGCAAACATTGTAACTTATCAGCCTCACTCAGCTACCCTGACATACTCAGACTATTGAAATTATACCAACAAAGTTAGTTAACACACAGTACCACACCATTTTTCACGTTCCAGCCCAGAAAGATACCTTAGGTTGGATATATGTAGTGGAATGAAACTCGTGGTTAAAACATGTTGTAAAATTACCTACCATGTGCCAAATAAAAGATTCATGACAGAGGAAATTTTACCACGTATTTTACCATGTATGGCAATACATACCAATTTTAGCGAAACTCTGCCGCTGAGAACTAAAACGACTAACAAACCATTTTAGTATAGTGATGTGTTCACATCACTCTCCGACATTTCGGCTCATGGCTCGTGTACGACGACCTGACTGACGTCATCAGAGTAACAGTTAGCACAGGGAACAGAGGAACAGTAGGCACAGAGGAACAAAGGAACAGAGGAACAGCGGGCACAGAGGAACAGTGGGCACAGAGGAACAGTGGGCACAGAGGAACAGTGGACACAGAAGAACAGTGGGCACAGAGGAACAGTTGGAACAGAGGAACAGTGGGCACTGAGGAACAGTGGGCACAGAGGAACAGTGGGCACAGAGGAACAGTAGGCACAGAGGAACAGAGGAACATTGGGCACAAAGGAACAGTGGGAACAGAGGAACAGTGGGCACAGAGGAACAGTGGGCACAGAGGAACAGAGGCACAGAGGAACAGTAGGCACAGAGGAACAGAGGAACAGTGGGCACAGAGGAACAGTGGGAACAGAGGAACAGTGGGCACAGAGGAACAGTGGGCACAGAGGAACAGTAGGCACAAAGGCACAGAGGAACAGTAGGCACAGAGGAACAGTGGGCACTGAGGAACAGTGGGCATAGAGGAACAGAGGAACAGAGGAACAGAAGGCACAGAGGAACAGAGGAACAGTGGGCACAGAGGAACAGTGGGCACAGAGGAACAGTGGGCACAGAGGAACAGTGGGCACAGAGGAACAGTGGGCACAGAGGAACAGTAGGCACAGAGGCACAGAGGAACAGTAGGCACAGAGGACCAGTGGGCACAGAGGAACAGAGGAACAGTGGGCACAGAGGAACAGAGGGACAGTGGGCACAGAGGAACAGTGGGCACAGAGGAACAGTGGGCACAGAGGAACAGAGGCACAGAGGAACAGTAGGCACAGAGGAACAGTGGGCACACAGGAACAGTGGGCACAGAGGAACAGTGGGCACAGAGGAACAGTGGGCACAGAGGAACAGTGGGCACAGAGGAATAGTAGGCACAGAGTAACAGTGGGCACAGAGGAACAGTGGGCACAGAGGAACAGTGGGCATACAGGAACAGCAGGCACAGAGGAACAGTGGGCACAGAGGAACAGTGGGCACAGAGGCACAGAGGAACAGTAGGCACAAGAGTAGGAATAGAAGAACAGTGGGTACAGCAGAACGGCAACAATATGTAATTAATCCATCCAGGCTTGTTGTTGTTATTTATTTATTTATTTATTTATTATTATTCTTTAAAAGTAGTCGGGACGGTGGAAAGAAGCCTAACAAACGAGCCTTAGAGCTATATTAAACGACCTAGATTTCTACGTTTTTTTTTTTTTTTTTTCACTGCAGGATTGGTATCCCTTCATAAGCAAAATTAGTATCTGCGGTATTCAATTTAAAAAAAAATTAAGAAAATGATGCAGTAGGCACGGAGGAAAATTAGGTTCAGAGAAACCGTGGGCTCCGAGGAATAGTGTTCATAGAGGAACAGTAGGCACACAGGAAAGGTTCGCACAGAAAAACAGTGAGCACTTTTTGTAAGAGGAGCGCCAACATTCGAAGATGACTGGTTTAATTTCTATCTATAAGAATACTATTTTACCATCAATACAGCAGAAGAAAGTAGAATTACAAATTTCATTGCCCAGTATATTCTTGACATTGTCTAGTGATCATTAAGTAGCAGGAAGTAAAACTGTACGGTGTAGTCCTTGCTGGTCAAGGCCGACATCCCTCGCCGCCACTATCAACGGCTTTTTTAATCTCTACTTGTTGTTTCACCAGCGAGTTTGTTCGGTTATTTAGTTTAGAAATGGTACATTTGGGCACCGAAAAGTGCGCTATTGAAGCTAAAGACACATCAGTAGAGCCCGTTGTAATCATTTTGTTATGCGTGTTAGTTGTGTCACTGTTTTTCTCCGTTTTTATTTAAAAAGTCAGTAACTTATCTTAATTGAATGAGTTTACTGTATTAAATTGCTATGCGTCATGCTGTTGTCCATGGTTGCCAATGACTCCAATGAAAAACTTGAACAGTAGGCACAGAAGTACAGTGGAAAACTAGGAACGGCAGCATAGAGGAACAGTGGGTGCAGAGTGACAATGGGCACAGAGGAACAGTGGGTAGAGTGGAAAAGCGGAAATATGTAAACGATCCATCCAGACTTGTTATTATTATTTATTTATTTTTTTAACAGCAGTCGTAACAGTGGGAAAAAGGAAAACAAAGGAAATTTCAACTGGACGACCTAGATTTGTACACAATTCACTACAGGATTGGATAAAACAGATCTGCTAGTTTAATACTTGCTTGGATAGCTTCCTTTTGTTTGTTTGTTTGTTTTCAATAAAAAATGAGTATAAAAGGTTATCCCACTCACTATCACTTACAACTACTGCTTACTTTTTTTAAGGTGAAAAAATATGTTTGAAATGAAGTTTTCCTTGTCTAACTAACTATGAGATATTTTAGGGTAGTACATCTCAAAGGGGGCAAGGAAGGGTTAGCTCTCCTCTTAACCAACAAAACTAACTGAAAGCACTTATCACCCAATTATTATATGGTTATTAAGAAACAAGAACAGTAAATAAAATCACATTAACTCAAATCCTCTTTCATGTAACTGAAACAAAATTTATCGTACTCAGATCACTTAGCACTGTTTTTTCAATTCAATTCAATAATAATTTATTAGAGTTAAAAAAACAGGAAGCCTTCTAGTACTTTCTCTGGAAGGATAAATTTCTTGGAAGAACCATTTTTTTAACTTGCAAACATTCCCTGGAACTTCTAGGGTAATGCAAACCCAAAATACTTTGAGACCAAAAACATACATATTATTCACATTTTCTGTATCTCACCTCACTATTTCCTCATATTCTAAACGATTTGCTAAATATTCATTTGTCTCAGAGGGTCACTCAGTCATTGATGGCAATAGACTGCTCATCTGTCACATGAACTCCAATTAAAAAATAATTCCAAAAAAGAAGAGCCATTTTCATTATAATGGTCAAGGTAACTGGAGGTTTTTTTTATTTCAGTAACAATGGCCTGCCTACACATGAATAAACCACAGGGAAAATATTTCACACTAGAAATGCTTCCAAAATCTTCAAAGCCACCAGCTGTATTAATTTTATCATATTTTTGTCAACAGGCACTATAATAATTATTAGCTTTTCACTACATCAGCCAGTCGGCTGTTTTTTTTTTTGTTTGTTTGTTTTTTTTTTTTTACATTTCAAGTCTTGTACACATTTTCAACATTTTTTTTTACAAGTAGAATGGGCTTATATGCAGACTGAATGATTTATACCGGTCAATATTTTTTACCCCTCAGACACCAGCAGCAACTGTCAATGAGTAGGAAATTATTTCAATTGATGAAAAACTAGTAATACCATTGTCAAATCAGGATCGAATTATAATTATCACAAAAAAATGCTACTGGTAAAATCGAGTAAAAATGTGTAAACCAGTTTATATTGTTCAGGCCTGTAGTTTATTCATGTTTGGACTGTGTTGCTGGCCCTGTATAATATGTAAAACAATGTTCCAAAAGTTGAAAATTGAATGAAGTCAGTAACAGAAATTGAGGTAAGTGTCACTTATTCCATAAAAAATCAGCAAATGAAACGTCAAACTTCCCTGAGTATAGATGTATGAAAAATTGTTGGTCACAAAAACCCAAAGTGAAAAAATTGCACGGTGATAAACTGCATTACTTAGCAATGAGCTAGAGGAATGTACCCTTACATTACTTCTAGTTGTCTAGTTGTCCTCTGGTGTGATATCGTGCTCATTCTTTAAGCGGTCTTTATGTGGTGACTGGTTGAGAAATTTGTTAAATAGGTACTTTGTAATTATGGATTTGTCTGCCCGCTCATTAAAGGCTTGGAGGTATTTTTTCCTAGTCACCTCATATGTGGCCAAGTCTTCATCATTTATATCTGCCGGGAGCTTCTTGTAGAAGACGGTGCTTCTGTCGACGGATAAGACAGTGCCAAATCCATCTGTTGCCAGATTTTCCATTGTGCCACTTAGAACCTCAGCAGATGGCCTCGCGTTCCCACTAAAATTGCGCTGGGCCAGCGTAGACACAAAAGGCCCTTTACATAGCAGGATGCGCCTCTGCCGTTCATAGTGGTCACTTGAGGCATTCTCTGTATTGCACTTCACAAGCTGCAAAACATGAAACACCTTTTTAGTAATCCAGTAACAAGTACTGCATCTGAAAATGATGATTCCTGATAAGCTGTTCATCAAGGAATTTTGAAGGATTGATGCTATTGTGTTATGAAAACATCAAGTTCTTTATTAGTTGTTGTTCCTTTTCTAAGTATATGAACAGCTGTAAGTAATCTTTCAGGATGAATATTTATTGATTATTTTTTTAATTTGTAGAAATTCTGATGGACAATGTTTGTCGAACCATTTCTAGCATCAGTCATCAGATGTCGAGGTTCAGTAAAAATAATGATCTGTTATCAAGCAGTTAATCAGACTTAAATTTGCAGGTAAAGAATTTGGCTCAACACTTATCAATGTTGTGGCGACAAACTGTAGACATGCCGGTTTGGGCGCTCTGGTTTTTTTGTGTACCTTATTGGTACTTAATTTTTATACTTTGGTAAGATAGTATTTCGTGAGGGTTTTATTTTTGCATATCCAATAGGCAAATATGAAAAAAGGATATTAAAATTCATGATTCAAGCATTTAATCTTGATTTTGTGATTTATACATAAACCAAGGTATTCATCAATAAAAATGAACTGGAATAAAAAGGAAATAAAAACAGAAAAGCAATACACGGCCTGGTTTCCTAGGCTTGTATTTTTCAAATTTCATGTTTATGGTTCCATGGCTATGCCCTCTGTTAATTTGTTTCTCCAAGAAATAGTCACACTTGTTTTACCAGTTGCTTTATTATTGAACAACCACTCACCTGGTCAAGGATTCTCCTCTGTGCTGTAAAATACTGGCACAGTGTTATACTCCTCTGAATAGTTAATGAGCTGATGACTTGTGGTGGCGGTGATTTCTCTTCTTCTTGGAGAAATTTTGTCAGCTGGTCGTATAACACATGGAGAACAGCTGCCAGCCTCAGCACATGCCTGTCATCTTTTGAAACATCTTCTGGGCAGATGTTTCTCGCCCACTGACTATTAAGGGATGCAGAGATGCCATCTATAAATTCCTCGTACTTTCTGTTACCACCCTGGTCTAGGGAGTACGTTACAAGGCCATTTTCAGAATGAGAGAACTCATATATGGCAGAATAGACAGCTCTGAAATATAAAAACATTGACTTCAAGATTAAAAACAATTATTACCTTAAACTTTATTAATTTCTCACATTTTTTGTACTCCCATGAATGAATTCGAATAAGTAAAGATTTGGTAAAGCATTTGACAATAAAAATCTGCGATAAAATATTATAAAGCATAACACGACGTTTCGACGTTTCCAGAACGTCATTATCAAGTAAACTAAAATAATAAAATCGAGTATATATATAATGAAGCGGTGAATAAATTACAAAGTGTTAAAAGTTAAACAAAGAGTTTGGCCCTAATGGAATCGCTCTGGGTATTCAAATTGGGCCATGAATGAATACATGTAAATTAACTCTTGTCAGCTTTCAGAGCAATCACCTTGACATTGTTAGAGACAATATGACTCATGCCTATTTTCCCAGAATAACCTGAAACTATAAAGCATTATACAATTTGTCTATTCCTGTTAAGCTGTTGTAGTGTTCATTTTTTTTTAAAAAAAGTTTCTGTACTGTACACATACTTATATGGATCCAAAACATTCAGGTTTCATCAACCTGTGTTTAAAACTTGCCATAAACAAAATATTACCTGAGATCTTTCAGTTTCGAATTATTCAGTTTGGTGATATACTCTTTAGTTTCATGTGCTGCCAGACGATGTGGCAAAGGCTGGTACATGAGAATTCTGTCCACTGCACCATCCTGCCTTTCCTTTAGTTTGACATAAATTGGAAAGAAGCGGTTGGGTTGACTGTAGCCACTCACTGACACTCCTGGACTGTCAATGACTTGACGTGCTGACTTGTCTGCCCGTGTATATACCCATGTACTTCCATCATATAACTGGATCATCCGTTCCATGTCTATGCGGCTCTTTTCCCTGGAAGCACCAAGTAGCTGGTCAAAAAACTGTGATGCCTCTTCCTTGCCAATGATAGCTTTATGGCCAGGTGTTGACTTCAATTGACGAAATAGCCCAGCTTCAGTAAATTCGTCAAAAAATAAAGGGTTATCCTCCTTTGCCTCTACATGCAACCTTATCGGCTGTGCACAGCCATGGTGAAAGGCAGGTGACTTTCCTGCCCCTGGGTCACACAAGCAGATCATGTAGAGGTTGATAGTTTCTGTGCGCATTCTACAGTCAACCTTGACTGTTGAGGGCCCCATCAAGCATGCCACAGTTGGCAGGACACTTGCCAGCAGAATGTCCCTTTGTAGTGTTGTTGGCCTTACTAAATGTATCCAACCATTCACTTATTAAGGCTGGGCAAATTTCCTCCCGCGGAATGCTAACTTCTTTTCCCTTGTTTCCTGACGGAAGGTGCTTCAGCTGCTGTTCGGGACCGCTTGGCTGATGACGGAAATGCTGAAGCCATATCTGAAACAACAGAAAGAATCAGGTCATCTCGAGTAAATCAATCGCTTCGCTCACAATTTAAAATTTATAACCTTGGGTTAAACCAGATACTATTTTGACTGATAAATATATCACCATTAGTATATGTGCTCGGATATCCTCTTGAAGCTAGGATGGGGATGAAATTAATTTGGTAGTGAGGGGCCGGGAACAGTGAAGTTCTGAGGCCCTTTTAGGGTAAATTTCGATGGGCAACATGGCGTTGAAACAGCGACATCAGAGAAATGAAATGCCGTCAAGCGACTAGGTTATGCCGCGATCCTGCAACACCGACTGGAAAAAGTAAGAAAGGGTCACCTGTGTGTGTAGTGCCTATTATAAACCTGTATATGCATCAGAAAGTATACACGAACCTAAATTCTTCAGTGCCTAAGCGCTTGAGCAAGCTAAATCATCAGACTCGCTTTTCGAGAGATTATCACAGTACGTACACCTTTGTTAAACTTTTATTCATCCTACGACACCTTGCATCGATCTCGCCCGCACTTCCTAACCTTTGGTTATTACTAGTTTAGATTTTAAATTGTATCATCGCATTGTTTTGCACTGGGAAGAGCCCAAGAAACGCTGCTTTCGCTCCAGACACCGGCTCTCGCGAAAAATTTCCTACACATAATTAAAAAAAAAAACACCAACTATCATTCGGTTCAATTAATTTTCATCTTATTACTAAGATACCTTTTGTTGCATTCTGACGAAGATCCTACAATAGTCCAAGTAAGCGGCAGAATCTCTATGAAAACCGTCTCTTGATAGAGCAGCCATTTTGATTCTTTAAAAGCTTCATGGAACAACCGCTGTTCGAAGTGCTTGTGGTATTGAAATGGGGCGTTCCCTCGTAACAAGGGGACGCTTTTCAGCGGTCAAATGGTATGATAAATTTCCTGGAAAAAGTTCCAAAAAATCGAGAAATATTTGAATTTCCGAAAAGCGAACCATTCAACCGGAAATTCCGAGAAGAAAATCAAATCGAACGGAAATCCAGGAAAACGTTTACGAGTAACTCACAAGGTTGTCCTCTTTTTCAGAAATAAATTCGTACGTTTGCAATTTTCTATTCCGAGAGTTGTAAATCTCCCCTTTGATAAACACTAGCGACAGCTAAATTTGTCAAGAGAGCGTTTAATGCATAGGTTGGCTACGAAATGTAAATTCGACATGAACAGCCAGAAAAAAAGAAAGCAACTCTGCCAGAATTCTTCGTGGTAACACTTTTGATATCCTTCTTGTCTCGGTTTTGCCGGGGTTTTGTGGATGAAAACCGCAGCTAGAAGCCGGCTCGGGGGAAAATTGCGTAGAGCTCACCACATGGTGTGATGTTCTTGTTCACAGATTTTGTTCTCAAGTACGTCTGTAACTTTCCGGACAAATTTCCGTCACTAGCCGATTTCATGTTTGGATTAGTCTAGGACAAATCTGAAATTGCCCTCCAGTGCGACTTGTCACTAAGTGACGTGCTTCGATCGTTTTCACTGTAGGTTAGCGATTTTTCAAAGTTCCTTTCCAACAATTCCTGGCAGAAGGCCGCACTGGATGTGATTCATTGTTTATATGTGAGACTACTCCCGGACTACTAGAAGCTCGGTAGAATATCACGGGTTGATACAAACATTCCTGATATCAACAGAAAGAATCACGCAGACTTGATTCTCGATCGTCAACTGAAATTAACACGCGTTTTCATGACGCAGAAGTCCAAGACTTACGATCGACTTTATCGAAAATGCAATACCGAACTTAGCTTGCTAAATGCTAAAACCAGAGAAATAAATACAAATCAGACGTACCTGTGTAATCTTGCCTTCTTTCTTGATTTCCCTTCGTCAATAGTTGCTGTTACGTGATTTGTGTTGAAGACAAAAGCACAGAAACGTTGGAATATGTTGACAGATTTTGCCTGGCGTCTGATCTGAGCGGTCGATACAGGATCAACTGATGCAATGGATTCACTCGTGGCTTTATGTTGGGAAGGTGATAAAAAGATCACACCTGTTGATTCACGGTATATTTCACACCTCTACAGCTGCCTCTATAAACACCAACCCATGTCATTTCACGATATTGTGATTTTCAATGGCAGTACATACAAATGATTGTTTATTATCTTTTTGAAATACTGTATGACTGCGAAGTAACTTTCTAAAATGCCAGATTTCCTAAAGAATGGACACCGTAGTAATTTTAAAAATTCGTTATTGTAGGGGGGATTTTGGGAAAAAGCGTCAACTTACATAAAGCCGATAGTGGTGCTATCATCTGATCGGTCGCATCAAAAGGAGCATTAAATCACCGGAAATAAACCGAAAGAATGTAGTAAAACGGACGAATGAACGGTCAAGTTAATTTATGGGTTGCACTCCTGTTTACAAAGTGCTGGATTTTTTACTACTTTTAGTATACTTTGCGTTTACAATCCTTTCAAGAACCACTTTCTTTCGAGTTGAGGAATTTTTGTAAAAAAATCGTAAGAACGTAAAAGACGTACAGCTTGTTCGAAGCTTGTGTGAGACACGCGGTTTATCGCAGCCTGTGAACATCCGGAGGAGGCGGGTGTTCACAGGCTAGGTTTATCGTTAAAAAGTAAAACAATAGCGAAATCACAGCGGTAATTGTCTGCAGAAAAGAAATATACCACGTCAGCACTTTACGAAGAAAGTGGTTTTTGTATTTCGAGGTAGTCCACAATGACTGTTCACATTAGTATTACCGCTTATATTTGATTTAAATGCAAAACAAAGTATGTTATTGTTACCTGAATAAATATCATTTTCTGCAGCCTTTTGTTTCTGAACGCCACAAGTAAGACAGCTTTCTTGATCTTCGCACCTTATTTCAATTAATTAATTTAGAGTGGATTTATTTGTGGCTTCTGCTTGTGAATATTGCTTTGTTTTTTAACCCCTACTTCACTTTCACAGCTTTTAGTGTATTTCATTGTTGACACATACTCATTTAGAATGCCCCTGACAATTGTTTACACTTACTTTCAGAAAGTTTTAAGAGCATTGCGAGAACCGAAAATTACAAACTGGAAGCAAAAGAAATAGGTATAGTCGTTTTATTATTATTTGTTGTCCTCAACTTTGAAATAAGACAACGAGTAGTCCCTTTTCATGCCTTTTTCGCTTTGTCCGTCAAGCGTGACGCAAGATAAAAGCACGAGAAAATAATGGCCGAGCGAAATCTTGGCACGCTTTTCTCTCGCGTACGCTCGACGGACTAAGCGAAAAGAGGAAGTAGTCCTAATCTACTTTGAAATCGAGTCTATGTCATTGATTAGGATCGAGGAGGCTTTTTAACTAAAACCTTATGGTTTTAACAAATTGTTAGTGCGGATTAACTGATTCAGAATGACTAGAAATTACTGAAAGATTGCTATCCGCATTTTCGAGTCCTGGGAAACGTGACATAGTAAAGTGATAATATTCTTGACAAAGACATTAATATATTTTGGAACACGTCGGAGTGAATTCACCTACCACATCGGTTAACTAACCGTATTTACTCGAATAAGCGCCGCGGTGCTTATTAATTTTTTTCCTCCTCAAATGGGGCGCTTATTCGAGGGTGGCGCTTATTTGAGGGCGGCCCTTGTTTATAAAAGTTGGACACGACAAAGAAATCTTTCCTTTTAAGTCAAGGGAATATTTCTATCTTTTTGAAAAATTTAACGGTTATTAACAGAAGCGTCTCTTGATTGTCCCAGTTCGTCTCTTCTGGCACTTTTTATTGCTTTACCTGTGGTGTCTTCACTCAACTTCGATCTCACTATCCCCTGATGCTGTTTTGGAGTTGCATTCTAGCGTTTTGGTAGTTCTACGGAGATTCTCGAATAAGCGCCGCATTCCCGACGCGGCGCTTATTCGAGGGCGGCGCAAATTAACTTTTTTGACCCAAATACGGCGCTTAAGGACGTTCGCGCGAAAATCTTCCCACGGTCAGATTTTTGAATAACTTTTACAGCAGTTAGGTAACGACCAACTCAGGTCAGAGAGGCAAAAAAATTCGGGGGTTACCGAGCTCATTTTCGAGATAACCGGTACGAAAGACCGCAGTATTTATAGAAGTTTTGACAGTTGTTTCGATTTGGCTTAGGCTGCTTCAAGTGTTAAAAAAAGGAAAATAAACTGATGTAGCAAGCATTTTTGGTTTCGTAATTGACTTGAACAAGCCTACTAAGTAAATACTTGTCACTGGTGTCAATCCATTTGGTTAAAAAGTAACATTCAGGAGGGAAAATTGCTTGTCATACCCAGTCGCGAAGGGCGTAAATTTGCCCCTTTTTGACGTGCCATTGCGACACGCATTACGTGCGCAGTAGTGTGCGCAAAAACAATTAGCACGAACGTCCTTAATCGAGGGCGGCGCTTATTCGAGTAAATGTGGTATTCAGCGATTGCATCAATCGTAGCGATCCTTCCGTAAGCGATCGATACGACTGCTGAGATGGTCTTCACTCCAATCTAGTCTACCGTCGCGATCATGTGGGGCATATGGAAACCGGTCGGTCAACGCGAGGATCGTTCAACTTTACATGTAACTTTCTGTTGCGATCGCAGCGATCGTGGCTAATGTAGGGATCTCAGCAATCATATGGATACCATCCTGTTTCCTTTGTGATCACTACGGTCGCTACGATCTCTGCGATCGCTACCATCGTTGCAATCACCGATATAGACCTGAAATCTATTACTAAGAGCGATCGTTGATGGAAGCATCTTTTGCTCTTTTTAGCTTGAAATTGATCTTATATGTTTTAACCCTCTGACCATTGGCCATCGTCTGTGGCAAATTGTCTCTTGTCTGTAGTATACCTTCAATCAGGACGCATACCAAACATGGACCCTGGTCCATGTACCACCCTGTAGACCACATCTGATTTTTTTAAAAAAACGAATTTTTACCAGAGGTCTAAAAAAATTAAAAGAACTTTAAGTAGACTATACTGGCGTCATTTACAATCGTTCTTTTCAATTTGATTAAAAATTTTCTTGAATTTCGTACCACTGTATAAGTTTGATCCAATCATGGTCGGAGTTTGATTCTGGCAAAGGAGTAACAATTTGAAGGGTATTGGAGGAACCCTTTGGAGACAAACTTAGCGGAAAAATATATTTCTTTTTTCATCCGCAAAGTTGTTGAATCCTGCCAACGGCAAACAATCTCCATATTAACAATACGGTTTGCAAGGGCAATAGGCATCCTCGGGAAACCGCGCGACGTTAGTTTACAAGCACTGAAGTGCTTTACTGCTTGTAAACGTTCGTGGTAACATTTTCCCAACCCTTCTGACTGCTCCTAACTCTCCGAGAATGGACTAAAGGAAAAATGCATTCGTTTTAATTAAGATTAAATTTGTGTGCATCAAATAGAGTTGAATTACCCTTCTGATTTCATTGTGTAACATTCTTGACGAGTTATTTTAGTTGTTTTGATATTTGTGAAATTTTCTTTTTTTGTCACGCGGCCTACTGGGACGTCATTGCGTGTTATTTATTCATAAGGAGTGATACTTGACATTTGAATTTATTGAGAGCGATTAGAATCGCTACGGGAAATGTGCTTTCGGATTTAGCTTATCATCCATGACACATTTGTTGCGCTATTTGCTAAATACTTCTCGGGAAATTTCTGTAAGTTTGTGTTTCTGTTGCTTGTTATTTTGTTTTTGCCTGTTATGTTTTTTATTCGGTTTATTTCTCTCCGAATTTACTTTGTCATTGTTATTTATTTTAGTCAAACTTGTTCAGCAACCAGAATAAATAAATACAATTATTTTAATTTCGCGTTTTTGAGCGAGACATGATTTATCTCCTAGGGGAACCCCTTCGCTCTGGTGAAAAGCATTCAGGGAAAGTGGTGACTATTTTAGATTGGTAGGACTAGCTTGTGCTACGCACAAGTTCATCGTGCGCAGAATGTACGAGTTCATCTAGAGGGAGGGGTCGATTCTTCCCCAAAAATCTTGAATTTAATAGAATTCACGCTCTCTTTCTCCGTATGATATCGAAGAGAGAAATCCCATAAATGCTGAACTGTAGGTGGGTTATAACCCATGTATTACATACTATCCAAGTGGATTCTGAAGTAATGTGATTAAATCAAAAATTGTGACATACTGGGCTCCTTTCGGTAAGGAGTTTTCCATAATAAGCGTTGTTATCCTGTTCTCTTCTCTTTCCAGGATGGATGTACCTTTACGAAAACCGTACTGCGTTCTGTTACTCTGTATGGTGCTGATATTCGTATCATGCGAAACTAATGGTAATCCACTATCCCCCAACCTGTTAGATGCCATATCAAAAATTATAGAAAGGTATGAGAAAGGAGAGCTAACGGCAACAACCTCCATTCATTATTTTGTGGACCAAAATAACGTGGAAACCTTGTTTCTTCCTGGGATTATCATCTGGGATCCATTACTACAGTACTTTCATGGAAGCTTACCTTGTCCTCACTGTGGCCAAATACTGAAACCTAGATGTTGGAAAGATGGGAAAGATTGGAAACACAACAGTCCCAGGCGGCTTGCAGATATAGAACATTATGTTCTGCTCGTAAGCAGGGTGTACGCATGCAAAAATGACCACAGGATAATCAGTCATGACCCTCAAATTCTGAAGATGTTTGAACAGGTTGAACTGATCCCATTTCTTCTTTTGCACAAGTATGGTATTACTCGACGTTTATACAGATTAATTATCGTTCATACTGCGTCTGGAATGAGGTACAGGGATGTGGAAACACTTTTAACTGAGATGTGGCGTAGTTATCACACCGAGGTACGCATTCGGACATCAAAAATATTAAGTATGAGAACGTCAGAGGGTGAAGCAGCAAACGACGCGAGTCACAATGCATATACAATGCCGCAGGTTTCACAGTTAAACCCTAACAGGAAGCTGATTCGCCAGTGCTTTGTTTACGATTATTTTACAAAAGAAAAACTTTACAATGCACGCATGGCATCGTTTACTGGCAGTTGGCTCTCCTCTGACCACACATTTAAGGTCGCTAGTAATGTCGGTATATGGCAAAATGGCCATTGGATTCGTCAGTTTGACTCTTTGTTTTCTGTCATGAACGAGGATGGCATTGTCCTCGCTTGGCAATTAACAAGAGGCACTGGTTTTGCAAGAGTAAAGACTTTACTCGTTGGAATTATGAACAGGCTTGTAAAAAGCGGAATTACCTTAGAGGGATTTTCCATTGACAACTGTTGCGCCTGGAGGTTACTCCTTCAAGGGGTGTTTGGAGTTATTCCGGTTAAACTTGATCTCTTTCATGCTGTACAACGCATCGCAAGTAAAATTAAAAAAGGCACCCGTTAAGAAGACAGTGCCTCGATTCATTTCGTTTAGTTTTCCGAATGCCGGGCGATATTGGGAAAGAACGGAAGAAGTCGACGCCCTCTCGCTCAGTAATGTTGACAAATTTAGACAGATTTGTGGAAAACTGGGAGAATCTTGAAGTTGCAGGAGAGAAGGTACTTTCAAAAAATGCCCGTAACCAATTGGACAAGTTAAGAGCACATATTGAGAAAGGTTGCTTGGAAGGGATCCCTCCAAAAGCAGGAACAAGTAGACAGGAATCGATGCATAAAAGCCTCCGGAAAGGCGTAGAAAAAAGGAGAATTGGTGTTAAAACAGCAGTGGCAAGCATAGGTACGTGCCTATACAGGTGGAACGAAAGGCGAATATCAGAAAAGGTAGGATCGTGTCATTCGGCAGTTCCTGTCCCAGTCACCGAGTACCATGACTTGTCGATGGATCAAGAAGAAGTATTTGGTACCGGAGTGTTTCAAAATCCAAACAGTTTTAGCGACGATGACTTGGAAGATGGCGCGGAAGTCAATGCTAGAGAAAATGATTCAACAGGGGATAGCAGTAGCGAGGAAGAGGAATATGGGACTGATAACGACAACAATGTGAAGATCACGACAGAAGACACGTATCATAGAGTTCTGGAGTATGCTATGTATATGAAGAGCCTATCGCAAGATTTGCAAGCGAAATGTGATGCACCTACAATGAAAGTAAATGTGACTCAGTGTGTTGGACGGAGCCTTCTATTATTTTCATCACGTACACGTTATTCCAGGCCAGACGCGGAAGAATGCGACGAGAGGTTAAACAGCATTTTAAATGCATTTCAATTCCAACAGTTGCCGATGCCCGGAGATGGAGACTGTTTTCTACGTTGCATTTCCATCACTTTAAGCTCTTTTCTAACAATAAATCAAGGGAACTCAAAACTGATCACGTACTTGAAATCGATCGGCATCAGCACGGAAAGGTCTAACGAGGATAAAATAAACGTTCTCAGACAGTTGATTGTGCAAGAATTCACAGGGCCCAATCGGCACCTTTACGAACCATTTATGATAACAAACACCACTGATTCATATGATACAGAAGCTCAGAAGTTCCTTAGGCCAGGCCATTATGATTCTGAATTAGGAAACTGTGTGCCAATGGCAATGAGTAATATCCTGCAAATACCGCTGGTTATTTTTACATCGATGGAAAATTATCCCATTACACAAATAATTCCTAGAACAAGAGTGCTTTCCGAAGTTCCGATATACCTCGCATATAATCATGGTGGCAGCGGACACTATAATTTGGCAGTTGAAGTAACTCACACGCAGTCAAATTCAACTACAACTGAAGCAACCAGCAAAGAGGCAGACAAGCATTTGCAAGTTGAGGCCGACGTTCCCCTCAACATGAGGCAGGGTGTTCGTGTGGTCGCGGAAACCCAGGGAAGACAGGGAAAAGTGAATTCTGCAAACAATATAAGTCACGCTGTCCTTGTTTTCGTAATCTGCGAGGCTGCAATGAAAAGTGTTCCTGCCGTTTGTGCGCGAATCCGTTTGGTAGAAAAACTCAAGAAAAAGGGATCTTTGGTCCGCTACCAAGAAAGAGACAAAAACAAGATCTTCAGAAAGATATGAAGCAGACAGACAAAGGATATATGGAAAAGAAAACAGAAGAACCCATCGCTACAATTTGGTTTGAAGACGAACTGTATGTCATTGAAGCGTTGTTCTTGTACTTGTTAGTTACAAGCCAAGATATTACCCCGGACAGGGTCTTTGCAGAGTACCACAAGATAATAGAATTCTGCTCAGAAGTGACAATTTATCAAAATGTCTTTTCTCTGCGTCCAAGATCCTCGTCAGCAATAACAAAGAAACTACAAGAAATAAAAGGCAAGTTAAAGGTTGACGAGGAATTATTCAAAAAACAAATCCAATACAACTGGTTTTTTGACTAAATCGAATTTGCACAAGCAGATAACAAAATGATATCTTCCTGCAACGGCCAATCCCGTTCCAAAGGACTAATCGCCAGTGATTATTGAAGGAAGTTTGGTCGCAGTTTTCCCACGATGGCTTAAACCGTTATTTCTCATCGGCACGTGGCACTTTCAGCCACACGAAGCAGTTTTAAATGAAAAACAATGCAAACACATTTGTGGCAGAGTTAATGCGTTATTCGTTTAAGATCCATGATTCTTGAAGACGAGAAAACGTATTAATAATTTTAGAAAAACGTGTTCTGTTTAAACATATTTTTTGCTTCATTTTCTGATAAATCATACTGTTTATACGAGTTATATAAAACAGTGTCGAAATTAAGTATAAATTAGTTGTTCTCGGACTTTGTCTATTCCGTCTTTTGGTTAATAGGCAGGTACCGTATTTATTTCGAAAAAACGCCCCCGGCGTTTATTTTAAACTTGGCATCGTTGACCCGGCGTTTATTTGAAATCCGAAGCTTGCTTGAGCACTTTATCCATGAAGCAATGGATTTTTCTTCATTAAATTTTACAGAAATAAATCTTTCCGTTATATCTGCAGTACATTATACGTCTAATAAATACTTAAGGGGATTATTTAACATTCCATCTTGGAGACCCGGCGTTTATTCGAAGCCCGGCGTTTAATCGAGTAAATACGGTATTACATGTAATCTGTTCTGTTAGTTATTCCCAATCGGGGATATGAAATTTTATTTTCTTTAAGGAGGAAAATAAAACAGATGCAGCTCATATAACGAGATCACTAAATATAATGTCACCTAGAGAATATAGATTGTCCAACTAGACATGCTCTCAAAAGGGTTTAGGGCTCCAGGGATCCGGGCTTAAAATTAAGAAAGGGCTCCAGGCCTCCGAGGAGAGAATTTCAAAGTTCTAGGGCCCCATATCATTTGCTTTAGGGCTACAGGCTCCACCGTGGTCGACAATCCTCAGGGGCGTAGTCTGGTTTTTCGGTCTAGGCACGCACATGAAACAAAAGAAAAACGAGCGCCGAAGAAGCTAGGGGGTATAGGGGCATGCCCTCCAGAAAATTATTATTTTTAGGGCCTCGGAAATGCCATTTACCATGTTTTCAGGGGGAATTTTGATAAATCGAAACATGGAAAAACGTTAACAATTTATGACAACCTTTGGTACAATTGATATTAGTTACAATGTGAATACAGGCAAAGGGCGAGACTTGTAATGTCCATGGCTATACTACGCATTTTTTAATCGCATTTTAAGGGTCGCATGTTAGGCGTTCGATTTACGTCTTTCCCGGCCGTAACACTATGACCTAATTTCATTTCTTCAATAACCTCGTGCTCCTCGCATTTTACAGTTCTGTTCTCCAAATAAAATTGTCGTCAAGCAAATTGGCTTCTTTTTTACATCCTTTTTTATTTCATAACAATTTTTCCTACGAACGAATAAATCATGTCCTCTTCTAGTACAGCGAGAAGAGGACATGGTTTTCTGTCTAAAGTTTAATGATTGAAGTCATTTGATTAAATTTTCAAAAAGGAAGTTACCTTCTGATGGTCCTCCTTTGCTGACCTTTTAACAGTCTGTACTATTCACCAAGCTTAGGTAAAGTAGCCCTTCACGATTTTGTTACATGTCTGGCCGCACAGGCTACCTCTAAAGACGTGGCTTTTAGCACTCAAACATTAAATGAACTGAAAGGACGTTGAACACTTCATCAACCCAAAAGTTCAAACTGACCCGAAATGACTACGTTTCACACTGACTTCAAATACTTTCGCAGACCTCTTCAAAGGGCCAAAAGGTGGATTTCGATCATTTTATTTTTGCCTTTCATTTTCTTACTATCGTTGTGATGACTGGGTTTCAAACTCCTGTTTTAAAGTGAATAGCGCAATATTCACAAAGACTTCTTGATGAAAAATAGCAGCAATACAATGAGAGAAAAACTCTTGCATGTGTAAAAGTCGCTTTTCGCCAATAAATCTTTAAACAAGCAGATAAATAAATAAATAATTCCTTTTTTTTCCTACGCCCTTGAATTCTGATACATACAAATTATTTTCTAATTCAAATCCACAAATAACAAAGTCTGCCCTTTTTTGTTACAAACCTGAGCTTTCGGTTATCACGTCTCTTGTTGTTTAACTGTAGATTATAAGCTTCAGGAAAATGTGCTTTGCTTCTCTCCAGATCCCTTACAAGTAGCCCAAGATGTATGGATGGCACGGGGGACAAGGGTCAAGATGCAAGGCTCGCCCAATAACATACATTCTAAGCGTTTTTACTAACATCAAAGGTGTATATGTTACCTGAGTGCCAAAAGGTAGCAAAGAAACGCGCAAATTTTTTTCAAGAAGTATAAAAAACTCTGAGCTAGGCATCGCGGTGCAAAAACCAAGAACCTACTGTTCCTCTGTGCCCACTGTTCCTCTGTTCCTCTGTGCCTACTGTTCCTCTGTTCCTCTGTTCCTCTGTGCCCCTGTTCCTCTGTGCCTACTGTTCCTCTGTGCCCACTGTTCCTCTGTGCCCACTGTTCCTGTGTGCCCACTGTTCCTCTGTGCCTACTGTTCCTCTGTGCCTCTGTTCCTCTGTGCCCACTGTTCCTCTGTGCCCACTGTTCCTCTGTGCCCACTGTTCCTCTGTTCCTCTGTGCCTACTGTTCCTCTGTGCCCACTGTTCCTCTGTGCCCACTGTTCCTCTGTGCCCACTGTTCCTCTGTGCCTCTCTTCCTCTGTGCCTACTGTTCCACTGTTCCTCTGTGCCTACTGTTCCTCTGTGCCCACTGTTCCTCTGTGCCTACTGTTCCTCTGTGCCTACTGTTCCTCTGTGCCTACTGTTCCTCTGTGCCCACTGTTCCTCTGTTCCTCTGTGCCTACTGTTCCTCTGTTCCTCTGTTCCTCTGTTCCTCTGTGCCCCTGTTCCTCTGCGCCCCTGTTCCTCTGTGCCTACTGTTCCTCTGTGCCCACTGTTCCTCTGTGCCCACTGTTCCTGTGTGCCCACTGTTCCTCTGTGCCTACTGTTCCTCTGTGCCTCTGTTCCTCTGTGCCCACTGTTCCTCTGTGCCCACTGTTCCTCTGTGCCCACTGTTCCTCTGTTCCTCTGTGCCTACTGTTCCTCTGTGCCCACTGTTCCTCTGTGCCCACTGTTCCTCTGTGCCCACTGTTCCTCTGTGCCTCTCTTCCTCTGTGCCTACTGTTCCACTGTTCCTCTGTGCCTACTGTTCCTCTGTGCCCACTGTTCCTCTGTGCCTACTGTTCCTCTGTGCCTACTGTTCCTCTGTGCCTACTGTTTCTCTGTGCCTCTGTTCCTCTGTGCCCACTGTTCCTCTGTGCTCACTGTTTCTCTGTGCCTACTGTTCCTCTGTGCCCACTGTTTCTCTGTGCCTACTGTTCCTCTGTGCTCACTGTTCCTCTGTTCCCACTTCCTCTGTGCCCACTCTTCCCCTGTGCCCACTGTTCCTCTGTGCCTACTGTTCCTCTGAACCTACTGTTCCTCTGTACCTACTGTTCTTCTGGGCCTCTGTTCCTATGTACCCTATGTGCCTACTGTAATCGGTGACGAAGGTAAATAACTAATGACGTTAGTCAGGTCGTCGTACATGAGCCATGAGCCGACATTTCGCGCCATCTTTGATAATCTCCTGTACTTCAGTCAGCGGTCACCAACTTAGCTAGTTTCCAGACTCCTGCTATTTCTCTTCCGCTAATTTTCCGAAAAAAACAATAGGTCATAAGATAAACATAATCTAATTCAAATTCACGGAAGCAAATGAAAGGAACTGTCAGACGAGAGAGGTTGAACCACGTGCAGTTGCCCCAATAGATTGCTTTGAAAATGGCAAATAGATCCGCGGAGAACACTTCTCAGGGGTACGTACTCTGTTGTGGATGTCGATATTTCCATGAATGACTGCGCCCTTGATTCGCTCCGGCTCGTTCTGCGATTTGGTTCTTTCGTTGCGCTGTCGTTTCCTCGTGGTATATCATTTGTTTATTGAAAAATGTTCAAATTCGCAGCATGAAATTTGCAAAACGTTATTTGAAGTTTTATACACTGATATTCAAAAACAATTTCATGTAATATACAATGACCCTATAGAAAAAAAAACTGCGCATAAAAGTTCTACAGATTGGACTTGAATGGAATAAGTGAGGTCGTGCACGTTTTCCAAAACTTAAAATTACACTGGTTTCTAAATTGTGTTTGCTTGAGTGGTAGCAGATGATGGAGTTTATACGCAGAATTGGATACAACTGAGTCAAAGAGTTAACGTTTGTAACACTCTTCTTTGCGTCTGTCTTTCAAATATCTGATTTCATAAAATGTATTTAGTCTCTATTGTAAAACTAGAATCGAACATATCTCCGGAAGTTTTAGGGCTTACTGTGATTTGATAAACGAAACGAAACGAACTGAAAATATGAACATCTCCGTGGTGTTCTTAGCTAATCAAATCCTCTTCTGTATTTAAAGGAAGGACTGCGCCATTTAGCCATAAAATGTAGATCTATAATTACAAAAAAAAAAAAAATCCGTGAGGCTGCAGCATCGATGTTCGTAGTCGACGAATGATTCGATTGCGTGACATGACACCTTCCCTGAAAAATTTCGCGTGACTAAAGTTGTTTTGCCGCATGTTTCTGATTGGAAAATTAAATA